AAAGGGATTAGCACTTTTTCCTTTGCTCCTCCTGCTCTGGGGCCCCATTCACCCCGCAGCTCAGGCGCTGCTGCCTCCCTGAGCGCCTCCGTGGGCCGAACCCGGGCACTGGAGGTCCCGGCCCCCGGGCCTCGGCCTTCCTTTCTCTTCCCCGCGGCGGGGCCGGGAAGGGGCCCCGCCATCTCCCAGGCAGGTCCGAGAGGGATGTGTAGATTCATTCTCCTGTGGAGAACAGGTGGCCCCCAAAGCAGGCCCTTTTTGCTCTTTGTATTTTATTTTGAAACTGTATTTAATGCTTTTATATGAAAGGGGAGGGGCGGGGAGAGAGCTGTCCCAGTCACCTTTGCGTGCAAATGTCTTATTTATTATGCGAGTATCAGAGATAAGCTGTGAGGCGGTGGAGAAAGGACTTAAAGGAGTGAGGGCAGGGGTATGAGGGTCCCACACGTCCCATGCGGGACTCCCGCGGCCCCAGCTCTGCTCTTCGCATAGGCCGGTTCTTTGGGTCTTAAGGCCTGAGAGTGGGGAGGCAGCGGCGGCCTCTGTGGACGGGGAACAGCAAGGAGGAAGCCCTTCCCCCATCCCCGCCCCTCAGGCCAGAGCCCAGGGTTCAAGTGCCGCAGGCCCGGTCCCCTCGACTCTTCCTGATTTGGGAATTGGATTTTATACCACGGATTTTATAGCATTTTTATATAATTCAAGATTGTCAGAGTTGGAAAGACCTTGCAGAGTAACTAGTATCTGCCTCCATCCCTTTCACAGATAGGTAAGACGAAGCCCAGAAACTGAATGATCACACAGCCAGCTAGGAACAGTACAAAAACTAGAATAAAAAACTTCCAGTTCAGTTTCTTTGCACTATATGACGCTGCCTCCCAATCTCTGGTAAGTCATAAAAATGTTCCCATCTGACCGACCGCAGGATGGCACGCGCTGGTGCTGCAGGCCACCCCTGCAGTTAGCTGGGACCTGGGGGCGGCGAAGAAGGCACACGTCCCTAGAATGACTAAGGCAGGCCTTGCCACGCAGGCTCAGCAGGGAGGTGTGGGCAGCAGCCCTCTCCAGAACCTCAGTGGGTTTGACTGCTGCCTGGCCCAAGGCCTCCCAGTCCTCCCTTTAGGGCAAGGGCTCCGCCATTGTGTGCGTTGGTGGTGTAGCCTCGGGGAGTCAGGCCTCGGGGGCATGGCCTCGTGGTTGACTGGAAAGTGAGTAACTAGTGTGTGTGAACCTCCAGGCTTTTGAGACAGTATTATGAGCTTGAGACCAGGGATTATGGATGGCACCAGGCTGGGCACTGCCATTCTTTTATTTTCCTTCACACAAGCTGTTTTCAAATCTAGAATTAGTATTCTACCACTTTTGCTACTCTGCCTGTTCAAAAACAGTAGGCATATTGGGGCAGCCTGTTATATTCACCCAAGCCCACTGCCGAAGTTCGGGTAAGCCAGGGCAGTGTGTGGGTTAGGAATGGTATTTCCTCTTGATGGGAGTGGAAGGTCATGGCAGCCCCAAGCACTCCAGTGGTTCTCCAAGTAGCCACCAGACCAGCGTTGTATTGGAACTAAAAGAAACGGAAATGATGAGGCCTCACTTCACTGCATCCACTGGGGTGGGCACGCCCAGCAATGTGTTTAGATGAGCCCTTCAATGATCACAAATGAAGCCCACTTCAATGCCGAGCACCAGCGATCTAGGAAGTGCCAGGGGGTGACTCCTGCTTTGGCTGGAGCCATGGCCTCACTGCCCAGGGCTCAGGGCGTCCTCATCTCTAGGCGTATGCCTCCTTGCCTCGGGAGTCTGACGTGAACAGGTGACGTTGCTTCATGAACTTTTCGTTAATGGTATGCTTGCTATTACGGCCAATATGTAAATGTTACTCTGAATACATATTTATGTACCATGTTAGTGACATTATTCGAACATTTGTATGCATATTTGTCAAGTTTGCATCAGTTACTATTTTTTTAAGTTTCAGCCTAAGCTTTGTAAGGTATGTGGAGTAAATTTTAAAAATCCAGCTTAAGGGCCAGGGCAGCCTTAGTTTTGGAGGAGAGTGAGTCCCAGGTGACAAGTTGTTTCAGCAAAGACCCGATGTATTTAGTTTCCGTTTTCCATGGCGACTGAGTGCATCGTGGCCATGTGTGATTCGGAGGCTGCTTCCTGTGTTCTGGGCGGGGACCCTCAGTTGGTGTGAGACTGAACGGGGACGGCAGACCCCGCTGGCCCCGTCCACTCCTCATCTTGCTCCTGAGGCTCACCTCCTAGAGGGGCTCCTACTTCCTTTCAGAAACCAAATGCACGTCCTTGCTGTGCTGTGGAAGTTCTGCAGTCTTGGGCATCAATACTGGTATCAACTGTTAGTTGCTTTTAAAAGCCGCAAAAGTGGAGTGGGGGTGGGGCCAGTGGAAGCCTTGTTTGGTTCTTACTTTATTCAAACTGTGTATAAAGAATAAAGTTAGCAGAATGACACCAGACTTTTTCTTTTTAATTTTTATTAATACCACATCAATTTAAAGTTTTACAGGAACCAAGATTCAAGCTCCTTAGGTGCTACTATATTTTAATGTTGCACGCACACACACGCACAGTTTCATTAATTTTTCATCTATGGGTTTTTCTTTTTAAAAAAAAACTCCCGTGTGGCACAAAGATCTGCCCAATTATCTAAACACAGCACTAACAGAACAAAAGAGCTAGGGGTGCAGGCTTCCAGTGCAGACAAAGTCCTTTGGAGGGGAAGCCCAAAAAGGTCACCAGTGCACTGACTTCCTGGGAGGCCAAGGATGGGGCTGGAGAATGCATTTTCTATGCCATGACATGAAATCAGTTGAAAATTTCAAAAGGAAAGGGGGCTAAGAAATAGAATGGAGTAAGGCAAGGACACCTTTTACCCATCTAAATTCCTAAGTAATTTCCCCCCAAAAGTAGAAAGACACTTTCCTTCTGCCACCTTCTACACTGCAGTGCTTTGGGACCATCAAAGATCATGGCCCCTACTTTGAAGTCACCAGTGCACATTCCCTCTGGATTAGCATGAGTTACACCTGAAGGAACTCACTGGTGCCTTTCACGTTTACTGAATTTTCATGCTGGAAGGGGAGGAAGACATTTAGTCTCAAACGGGAAGCCAAGGTCCCCCATCGCCCTTCCATGTGAGCTGTTCTGTTGTCTTTTAATTGTGCACAGAGCCCATCAACACCATCTGACCCTGCTGGCGGCCCTGACCTGGCTTCCTGGAACACACTCTCAGAAGGAGCACTGTGGGCCATGGCACAGGTGCTAGGACATTCTATGCGCCTGAAGAGGAAAGGAACCCTCAAAACATCACACCCAGCAGCCAGCCTCTGTTCAAACTGCCTATGAACCACAAAACGCTCTTCCCTACACTCATCTGTGTTCTCAACTACAGACACACACCATCTCCTCCCAAGCCAGCGGGCTGTGGCCCTCAGGGTAAAACGCTGAGCACAGGTTAGAGATGTAGCCTGTGAAGGGGGAGGCTGTAGGGAAAAGATAAAAAAAAGCCTTTGTGTTTCTGTAGTTTGCCTCTGGAGAATGTCCCCCTCCACGGACTGAGATAGGATCACAATAACTCAACAACCGAGGAGCCCACATGCAGGTTTTTTCCTCTAACAAGTTTACAGCAGTTTACAGCAGTTACAGACATTTGTTTCAGAATAAGAAAAGTACAACCATATTTATTAAACTTGAGGTGAGGTGGGTAGGGAAGAGGGAGGAAAGCACATTCAGGAATACGCTCCCAAACTAAAGCTTGGAACTAGTGTCCAAGGACCCACACACCACCTTCCCCAATGGCGGAGCCGCTCCTTCCAGGGTCGGCGGGAGGGAGCGGTGCTCGCGGCAGAGCTCCTGTAGGCTCCCGCTCCAATCCCACCGGCTGTTTCCGTTCTCGGCTATCAGCTGGCTTTCTGGTAACCAGGAATTATTACTATCACCTATAAGTTATTCAGAGTTGAAAGTTCTATCTATAAGTGAAGAAGAGGAATATGAAGAGTAGCTGCTCACATTGTGGGGCAGGAAGAGGGGGTCAAGGGCTGCAAAAAACCCCACAAGCTCGTGGGAAGGAATCCCACTCTTATCCCCAGATAATTTCTTAAGTTAACCATTATTTCTTAACTTAAAAATAAGGGAAAATTATGAGGGGCAGCTATGTAAGAAAATTACATAGCTTTGGAAACTAAAGAGAACCCAAGAGGGGTGTTTTATATTTTTCTCCTTTACCCTCCAATCTTTCCCCTTTCAAGCTACATCACCATTAAGGCTCCACCATCATTAAGGTATTGATTTTGCCTATTCAATTGATTCTGTCTTTATTCTTTTATGTTTTAAGATATCAGTCCATTTTTTAGTCCAATAATTCTTGTGCTTGATTCTGCAGGGAAAGGGAAAGGAGGGGGAAACACCACATTGGAAACAAAAAAGCTTGGAATGCAGGCTCAAGCTGACACTGAGCACGTTCCTTCATAGTACAAGTAACGACAGTGTAACTATTAAATGTTTTAGTAACTGTAGCATTTCTGGTTTCCATGTACTTATTCTGCCTTTTTCTTTGCGATTCCAGGTAGTTTTGCTTGGATCCTATTGAGGGGAGGAAAAAAAGGTAAAAGTAGCCATTAGTTCCAGGTTTTATTTTAACAGTGATGCTGGCGGGCAGTCCTAGACTTGCTGGACAGTGAAAAACCGCTCCCATTTCCGGAGGCTTCCTCTGGATGAAGAGTCTGGTGTGGGCCAAGGTGAGGGGTCTGCCAAGATCCATTCATTCCCTGCCGCTGCCACTAAGGCTGCTGCCTGCCGCCTCTTTCACTGCCAGGGTCCTTCACGGGGGTGGGGGTGGGGGTTCGGGAGAAGAATAAGGAGGACCTGGGCGTAACACCTGCTGACTACACACTGGCAGCCCATTGCTCTGAAAACGCCTGCTCACCCGCTGGTGCCATAAAGGAAACCAGGATTCAGAGTCAAGGAGACATAGTAAAACACTACAGGAACTAGTTCCCAGTCCCCTATCGGACACCAAAGCTGCCTTTTATTTTGTTTATTAATCCTACCAGACCTGAGGCCCTGAGCCTAACTGTCCCCTATACCTGGGCTCCTGAGCATTAAAGAGAAAAAACCAACATGATATAGAAAAATGTTAGTTACATGCAAACAAGTGGTTAGAATAAGATGGAACTTGGAGACATTGTAGAAAATAGGTCTACCTTTCATCTAGCGCCAATATTCCACCTTTGTGTGGAAATTACCGAAAAAACAGTACAGCGGTCTGGTAGGGTTAAGTGTCCCCATGACTAAGGCCATTCACACCCCTCAGCTAATGTCAAAACTGTTCCCTACAAGTGTTACATCCCGGAGCAGGGGGCCAAGTCAGCCAATACTACCAATTCAAGACATTAGGTTCAAAGCCAAGTAAGCAAGGATCGCTTTTCAAAATCCTGAGTGAACAGCAACTAGATACATATTTTGTGTTAACTGTCCTTGCCTGGTTTTAGCTCCAATGTACACCTAACAAGACCAGGTTAAGACCAGGTTAAGATTTTTTTTAAAAAAAGAGATTAGCCAAACCGGTGTGGCTCAGTGGATAGAGCGTCGGCCTGCGGACTGAAAGGTCCCAGGTTCGATTCCGGTCAAGGGCATGTACCTTGGTTGCGGGCACATCCCCAGTAGGAGGTGTGCAGGAGGCAGCTGGTCGATGTTTCTCTCTCATCGATGTTTCTAACTCTCTATCCCTCTCCCTTCCTCTCTGTAAAAAATCAATAAAATATATTAAAAAAATAATAAAAAGAGATTAAATAATTTCTTTTAAAATCAAACTATTAACCAAGGTGCCCCCCACCCCCCGGGTGAAAATCACATTTCAGGGTGAAAAATTGGCACCAACATTTTACATTGGGGACAAAAAGTCATTGGGGCGGGGGGTGGGAGCACACGTTATGAGGAAATGTGGAACCTAAGCATACTTACTTCTCAACAATCGACTTGGTCTGATCACGCACGATGCCAACATAGTGATCAATCTGGGTCTTTAAGGAAGGAAAGTGACTTAGTTGTGGCAACACACAGATTAACAATTTTCCTGAAGGCAATGTTCTTTTCTCTAAGTGTAACTATTTTTAAAAAACGCTATTGAATATTCTGGAAAATAAAAATAATGCCCAGCTTTTACAAGTGTTTTTAAAACTCCAGATTTCAGACTTTAAATTAAACCATAAACATCCCATATTCAGTTGCAGTAAAAACCACTAATTTCTTCTGCAGAGTCTTACTTGCTAGGTGTTTTCTTTAGAGAAACTGGACTATAATAGCATTTTCTGAATACTAGATAATGTATCTAATCTATTTCCTGTAATCATAAATGTATTTTGGCTCCTGGGTAAGACTAATTCATTTAATACCAAAAAGTCTGCTGATGGATGACTTAATCCAAAAATAATAACCTCATAAATCTAGTGTACTCTTTAGGCACCATTCCACAATGCAAACACCTGCTCAGACTGATGGAGTCCCATATTACCCTTAATATTTTCTTTTTAGATATGAGCTTTTATTTCTTTAAATATTTTTCCAACTTATTTTAACAGATAATGCAGCTATGTGATAAAAACACAAAAGGCACACAACTAAGCATAAAAAGTAGTCTTCCTGCCCTTATCTCTCCTAGACAGTTTGTCTACTAGAGGAAACCACTGCTACCAGTTTCTTACAGGCACCTGACTTATAAAGTCGGACTGCAGGAATGGTAGAGATTGCTCTGAACTCTCGTTACCTAAAAAATGAACTAAAACTCGTCACACATCAACTGGCATGATCTGACTTGAAGCAGGCCAAAGCTTACCTTGTACTTCTCATAGACAATTGGAACACTGAAAATGAGCAGTTCAGCTGTAAGACAGAATCATGGGACATGGCAAGTGTAAGTGTGAGACAGTCACAAAGTCTCAGGACTCAAGTAACACACAGGTTTTCCTCAGGAAATACAGGGAAACACAGATCTCCAATATGAGAAATGTCTAGATCTCTCAATTAAGGACAGTTAGATACAGGTACATTGATTCTTATAAATTTAAGATCCCCATATGTAAATCAAATCTAGATGACTCTCCTTTGCTTCTAGCTGTTCTGATATTTAAAATTAGGACCAAATTAATAAACCTACAGCCACACAATATCTAGGTTCAAGGTCTCTATGGATGTTAAAGGCGGGGCCATTCGGAAGCAATGGAGCCATGCTGGGCATTCTCTTCGCTCTTAACTCTTACCAATGACTTCAAAGAGCATGGAGACATTTTCCTTGCCATCTTACCAAGAATCAGAAGGGTGATTCCATTGAAAACGGCACCAACATAGGTCATCAGCCACATGAAGACAGCCAGCTGTGAAGGCCAACATCAGGGGGTTAAGCAGGAATAATTATGACACAAACTTCAGGTTAGCCAATGCCATTTTCCTCTAGCTAGTTAAGTCTACATAAATTTAGTGATGTATGCCATAAATCATTTCAAAATAAAGGTTACCCCATTTGCACTGTACGTTTGAGGGTGGATAAGAGAATTCTGTAGTTTTCTTAGGCCCAAAGACTGTAATTGCATTTCTGTCGATTACATTATCCTGTTAGTTCTCCAGGTTCACGAGATACTTTCTCCACCGACTCCTGTCTTCATTTTTACAGGTTGATGGAGACAAGCATACAATTGTTTTTATCTGTGGAAACCCCACTTATTGTTTTTCCTCTGAAGTATAACCTAGTCTCTGGTTTTCCTTTTCCTCACCACCAAAAGCTTAAAGGGTAGCGGAACGAACCTTCAAGGAGTCAACTAGATCTTCCACCAGAAAGAGACGGATAACGAGCTTCAGGGCCCGGTTGACGTGCACCATGGCAGCATTCACATAGTTATGGAAAGCTTCTGAGGACAGAGTGATGTCTACATCCAGGTAGGATCTTCCAGAAGAAGAAACAACAGTCAGGTATTTGACACGGAAGGAGAAGACCTCTTTCTGTGAGCATAGCCATTCTTTAGAGTGTGAAATTCCCCCACGGACGCACCTTAGAAATCTCTAGGGGCATGTTTTGCTGTCACGGATGGGGTGGGGGCACCACTGTCATTTAATGGCAGAGGCAAAGATGTCAGATGTCTGCGAAGTGTAAAATGGTCCACAAGGTGTTTTTCCTCACAGTTTTAACATATCTTGAATTTTCTAAAATTGTATTTTGTTTACTAAACTTTACTAAGTTTTCCCCCCCACCATTTTGGAAAATCACATCTGTATTGTAGATTATACATGTAGGTGCCAAGTACCTGATGTTTTACTATTATTATTGTTTTTTGGTGTACTCATTTCCAAGCAATTATATATTGACTGGAACACATATTATTTTATTATACATGGCTATTTTGTCATTTCTTTATATTACAATTAGGATCTATTTTAAAAATTTTGTTTATAAATATGTTATTTATAAATTTCATTTCAAAATGATAAAGGAGGCATTATAAAATATTTGTTAAAAAAATATAAAGGAGGGGAGCTACTGAGTTTGACTGGGTTGAAAATTACAGAAAAAGAAACACCTGGTTCTGTTCCCAGAGGCACTACAGACTCGAGATGTAAACATTTGCTTGTAACTTGTCATTCACTGAGGACTCTGAGTGCCTACTGAGAGCCACTCTGAGGTGCTGGGCCATCAGGACAGATAAGGCTGCTTTTGCCTTAGAGAGCCTACAGTCTTGTGGGGAAAACAGAGTAACAGGCATGTTTTTCTTTCCTATTTATTAAAAAAACATTTACCACCAAATACGAAAATTATAAAAATTAATGCAACTTGACAAAACACATTTTACAAATCCACAACAGTGTCATCCAAGAGACATGACATCTGAGCTTATGGCAAAATAATAAAATGTATTCACTCCTTCATTGAACAACTATTGATTTGTTAAAGCTAATTTGCAATAACTTTTCAAATGTCACATATAGTTTAAATTATTCCTTCTATTGCCGAAACCGGTTTGGCTCAGTGGATAGAGCGTCGGCCTGCGAACTGAAGGGTCCCAGGTTCGATTCCGGTCAAGGGCATGTACCTTGGCTGCGGGCACATCTCCAGTGGGGGGCGTGCAGGAGGCAGCTGATCGATGTTTCTCTCTCATCGATGTTTCTAACTCTCTATCTCTCTCCCTTCCTCTCTGTAAAAAAATCAATAAAAAAAAATATATATAAAAAAATTATTCCTTCTATTTTCACCAAGAGAAAACACAAGGACCAAAGCCACAACCGGACACCTATTCTGTCACAGTTCTGAGAGGTCACAACAGGGTTTCTTTCTCTATGAGAAAAGCGTTTTTAAAACATTGTCATTTGCTAATGTTAACACTTTTTATGGTCTAAGATTTTCAAGAGGAAAAGTGTGAGGAATACAGGTGTTACAGTTATAGCCCAGTCAAAAAAGCTAGCAACTGGCTTTCAGAAATGCATGACCTACATTCATCAAAACTTGCCCCTGGTATTAAGAAAACTAAAGGAAAGATAAGGAGGGGGCTGCGTGCCCTGAGACCCCGGCCAGGGCCCACCTGCCTGGTACAGACCCTACACTACAGACAACCCCATGGTGCTGAACCCTGGCAGCTAGCCTGAGGGGCGGCAGATCTTACCTGTACAGTTTTATTGTACCGAGAGACTCCCTTGCATCACACACCTTTACATGGAGTCAGGTTTTTAATTATATGTATAAAGAATAAATATATATAACAAAAAAAGGGAAGAAGGAAATCAGTATAAAACCAAGGGCAACACGCCGAATTCTGATCATCACCAAGAACGCAGCCTTAACACCCAGCTTTCAAAGTCGTTTTAAGATTTGACATGTGGGGCTTACACATGTGCTTGGGCGCCGTCTAACTGAGTGCTGTCCTCAGCGCCACCCTTCCCTGCTCAGGAACTCAGACAGTCCTCTTTGGTCTTAAAGTGTGAGACTCTAGCTGGTCAAGAAGTCCTTGGCCATTTCTTAAAGAGGTCCCATGGTGTCTAGTTGATGTTTCATGTCACCGATTGGACCCTATAATTCTTGATTTTTCATCAGGTCTGATTTTTACACCTGCCCAGCCTCAGTGAACCCTTTTAATAAACTGTAAAGTGTTACTTGTGATCCTTCAACTCACTTGAATGGATGTCCTTCTTCTGACTTCTGCACAGCTTGGATGACAGACCTGTAGACCCTGAAGCTGATGGTGACAGAGAGAAGAGCCAGGATGAGGTAAGAAACCACACTGATGACACTGAAAGCTGCCAGGGAAAGCAGCACGATCAGCGTGGTGCCGAAGACAAGCCCAGTCTTCTTCACGTCTCGCCAGAAGATCAGATCGTGCACTGCGAGAGAGAGGGACGCGAGTTACACGGACACCCCGCGCCACTGGCCAGGACGGTCCTCTGGCTGCGTCCTGCACGCCTGAGAAGCCGGGACTAGCATTCAATTACAGGTGCCCCCTCCCCTCAGAGACTCTGATAGGTGAAAATCACATATGCCAGGGGTGATGATTCACACTACAAAAGGTTCCTCTAGTTCCTGGACAGGTTTATAAAAATGTAGGAACTTATTTTTTAGAGGTGGCTCTTGAAGTACAATGGGGTAAAGTATCATTTACTTTAAATGTTTCAGCAGAAAGGATGGTAGAGCAAGTGTGGTAAAATCTTGATAACTGTTGACTAAATTAAACAAACGGTGCCTACAGTTTAATTGGGTCAACAAGCTATAAAACCAAAGCTAAAATGAAATTTATAAATTGGGCTGGGGGCAGAGAGAGTGGTGAATAAAAATATATCAAGCTCTATTAGTGTTAGTTAAAATTAAACACCAGTCTCTGTTCATCTGAAGAGTACTCAGGAAGGATTATGGGTATGGGACCATATAATTATCTAAAAAACAATACTTTTGAGAGTAAGTGGGGCTACTAATAGTAATTGTTAGGAAATGGGTATAATGAACCAAGGCTGTCCCAAGCAAGTGGGTCTTGTGGTCGGGGACATCCGCACTGAAGAGACCTCAAAAACCCTGCTGTACACTGCTGGCAATGACCTCCAATCTAGCAATGCTACTACACTGGAATGTCAATCTGCGAAGGCTGACCGCAACATTAATGACTCTATTTCAAGTTTCCTCTGTGCTATTCTTTGCTTATACAAAAAAGAGTAAGGGCTTTGGAGTTGGAGAAACATGAGTATGAGTCCTGGTAATTTTTAGTCATATTACCCTAATTAACCTTTCTAAACCTTTGTTTTCTCATCTATAAAGTGAAGAAAGTGACACCTATGTCCACGTTGTTTTAAGGAATATATGTGGCTAATGCATGTAGAAAGCGTAGCATTGTAAATGACACACGGTAACCACTCAAATGTGAACTATAATCAAAATATGGAATTCTGTGATTGGGGGTAAAGTGAACTTGAACCTGATTCCAGCTGACCCACTAGCACTTAGTTCTTCCCCATAGTCAGCTTCAATACTCTTCTCTGAAGCCTAACCTTAGCTAGAGCCAAGGGAACCTAACGTGAAACTAAGAAAACACTAAGATAAACTTATTGTCTAGAAGAAATAATCACTGGTTCTAAGATTCCAGTTAAGGGATGTGACTACTAGGAGAAAGTAGGGATTAGGATCGCTGAGGGGAGGTTGAGAGTCCCAGACAGCGACGTTGCAAAGGAGAGAGAGAAATGGGAGGCAACTCAGGCTCACTTGACTGAGCAGGAAAGCTGAACAGAATGCTGCCTACTTATGAGAGCAATTCCCATAACCAGAGACCAAGTATATGTATGTCACTTTTCATATATCTATCTACAGGGAGAGTTTCAGCACAGAACACTTAGCGATGGAACACACTGATACCATGTGCCTCCTGATGTAATGTACTGAGAAGGACACATCACTTGTATGGTATTCTTGCCAAAAACATAAAAACTGAATCTAATGAGAAAACACTAGACAAACACAGACTGAGAATTAGTCTACAAAACAGCTAGCCTGTATTCTTCAAAAATGTCAATGGTGTGAAAGACAGGAGACTTGACAACACATAAATGCGAAGTGAGATCACAGACTGGACACTGGATACCAGGGTAAAATAGCTATAAAGAACATCATGGGGACAATTGACAAAATTTGGATGTGAACTATATAACTGATAAAAGTACTGTGTCAGTGTTAAATTTCCTACATTTGATAAAAATTTAGTGTACTATAAAACAAAAAAATATATCATTCAAAAGAAACACACTCCAAAGTATTTAGGGCAGTTGTTCCCAACCTTTTTTTGGCCACGCCCCACCTAAGCATCTCTAAAATCCTGATGCCTCCTTGTGACATACAACTCCTGCTCTGACCGGTTTGGCTCAGTGGATAGAGCATCGGCCTGTGAACTGAAGGGTCCCAGGTTCGATTCTGGTCAAGGGCATGTACCTTGGTTCCGGGCACATCCCCAGTCGGGGGTGTGCAGGAGGCAGCTGATCGATGTTTCTCTCTCATCAATGTTTCTGACTCTCTATCCCTCTCCCTTCCTCTCTGTAAAAAATCAATAAAATATATTTAAAAAAAAAAAAGAGTGAACTCCTAATCATGGAGGAAGAATAAAAGGCCATTAACTTGGTCTAAACAAGCTTCCCAAGAACATGGCATCCATGAAAGAGAAAAATAAAAGAACAAAAGGACAGTTGAAGTACTGAGGAAGAAATCACTAAGAAATTGTTTAAAAAATAATATAAAAAATAGCAAATAAAGTTTCAAAACATATAATAGAGAACTGAAATGCATAAATGTCACAATATATATTTATATACTGTATATGAGGCCCTACAACCATAAGAAATGCAAAAAGTTCACTACTAATAACTAATTCTCAAATTGCTCCCCTTAAAAGTCAAATTGCCCCCTGTGGGGCATGTGCTCCATGTTGGGAACCACTGATTTACAAATAAAGGGCCAGGATGTTTGCAACTAGCTCTTAAATGGTCAGGAAAAACCCTGAATCTATAGAGAAGAGGGAGGGAGGGAGTGATAAAGCAAAAGTGACTACATGTTAACATTGGTGAACTAGACCAAGGGTTATATGGGAGTTTTTTTGTACTATGCATGTTAGTCTTTAAATTTGAAATATTTGAAAGAATAAGAAAAAGAAACTCTTAGAGAATAAGGCTGGGCCCCAGAAAGTAAAAGACCATGCTGTATCAGAGAAGGGAAAAGCGACAGTCTCTAAAGGCAAATAAATCCACTTTTGTGCAAATCAGAAAAACCACCCTATCCTCATGACTTCACTGCCATCTGCTGGAAAACTGTCATAAGGAATACGCAAACCTACAATGGTTAACACATGTGAATGGTGCCCCCTAGAGGTGTGCAGTACACAACTTGGATGACATGTATATAGTGAGGGAAGGGGAGAGTGGCATGAGATGATGCTGGAGCTGAGGGAGGGGCTAGATCATGGAGCACTTTCAAAGAGCAAGGAAAAGGCCTTGGATTTTACCTCAGATGAAATGCGAAGTCACTACAGACTGTCAAGCAGGGGGATAACATGATATATTTTAACAAGAGAAACCATTTCACTGCTGCAAAGAGAACATGGATTGCGATGGGGCAGGTGTGAAAACAGAAAGGTTCCCTAGGAGGCTAACTGAAGGTTCAAGTGAGAGATGATGGCCATTTAGATAAGGATGGAGATGAGTGGACAGATTTGAGCTGTATTTTTGAGGTAGAACAGGCAGAACTTGATGGACTGGATGCAGAAGGTGATGAAATATGAATGACACCTAGGTTTGGGGCCTGAGAAATGGATGGATGTGGTGTTATTTATGGAGAAGAGGAAGAGTAGAGGACAGAGTATGTTAACTTTGGGATGGATCCTAGAGGTATCCATTATTAAAGAGGCGGTTAGATCCACCAGTGTGGAGTACACAGGGCAAGTCTGAACTAGAAATACGAAATGGATGAGGTTACCGAGTATTGATAGGGAAGAAGGGCCAATTCTGAGGCCCATTCATAGATCTGAAGATTGGAAGAGGGACTAATGTTTCTATTTTCTCAATAAGAAAGAGCTGAGATCACTAGCTGGGTGGGGTCAGGGGAGCAAAGAAGGTTTACAGAGAGAGCAAAAGATATAAAATGGTTATTTCAGAAAAGCGAGAAAGTGTCCTAAAGCTCTTAGAAAACACAGTATATCTTTGTGACCTTAGGCAATGGCTTCTCAGATATGACACCAAAAGCACAAATGACCAAAAACAAAACAAAACAAAAGATAAACTGGACTATATAAAAATTAAAAACCTCTGTGCTGTAAATGGTACCAAGAAAGTGACAAGATACTCATAAAATAACAGTATATTTGCAAATTATATATCTGGTAAAGTATTTGTATCTAGATATATAAAGAATTATATATAACTAATCAGTCCAATTGAAAATGACCAAAGGATCTGAAGAGATATTTCTCCAAAGATATACAAATGGCCAATAAGTACATTAAAGATGCTCAACATCATCAGTCATTAGGGAAATGCAAATCAATACCACACTGAACCCACTTGGATGGCTATAATAAAGAATTACAATAACAAATATTGGCAAGAATGTGGTGAAACTGGAGCCTACCTTCCTACTGGGAATGAAAAATGGTGCAGCCACTTTGGATAACAATTTGACAGCTCCTCAAAGAGTTAGACATAGTTATTATATGACCCAGCAATTCCACTCTTAGGCAAATGCCCAAGAGAAATGAAAACATATGACACAAAAAATTGCACACACCAATGTTTATAGAAACATTATTCATAACAGCCCCAAAGTGGAAACAATCCAAACACCAACAATTGATGAATGCACAATAAAGGGTAGTATATCCATACAACGGGATTATTATTTGGCAATAAAAAGGAATGAAGTTCTGATGCTACAAAGCTTGAAGACATTAGGCTAAAAAAGCCAATTACAGAAGCCACATGTTATATGATTTTATTTATATAAAAAAGCAGGAATAAGCATATAGGAGGCAGCCAATCAATGATTCTCTCTCATCATTGATGTTTCTATCTCTCTCTCCCTCTCCCTTTCTCTCTGAAATCAATACAAATATATTTTTTTTAAAAAAAGAAAAGAAAAGAAATGGATAAACTGGGCTCTGGCTAGTGTGGCCAGTTGTAGCACTGTCCTGTACACTGAGAGGTGGCAGGTTTGATTCCCACTTAGGGCACGTATCTAGGTTGCTGGTTTGATCCTGGTTGGGGCACATACAGCAGGCAAGCAATCGATGTTTCTCTCTCACATGGATGTTTCTCTCTCTCTCTCTCTCTCTCCCCCTCACTCTGTCTAAAATCAATTTTTTAAA